ATTGGGAGTGGGGCTGGGGCAGGGCAGGGTGTGGGATGGAGCCATGGCTCATCCAGAGGATGGATCCCACTGCTGTACATGCCCCAGGAGGGCACAGGGGGCACATGCCCCTGGATCTGCATGGGGCAAGGCAAGCTGCCACTGCGGGCTGGGGCCAGGGGTGGCACTGGGCTGTGCGGGGGGAAGGGGGACTGGCCAGGCTGCGCTCAGGGCAGGCAGCGGCAGAGCTAGGAGGAAGGGTTGGGGGGGCTACAGTGAATTTTGAGGTGGCTGCATCCGTGGACCCACCGTAGCCCCATCGCAGCGCTGCTGCTGCCTGCCCTGAGTGCAGCCTGGCTAGGCCACCCCCTACCAGGAAGACCCCAGCACCACCCTGGCCCCAGCTTGCAACAGCAGCTTAGCCTGTCCCACATAGATCTGGGGCCATGTGTCCTCCATGTTTCCTGGAGTGCATATAGCAACAGGAGCCATGCCTCCCCGATGAGCTGCAAACAGCTCAGTCCCATGCCCCGCTGGCTGTGCAGCACCTGCCTCTCCCCTAGCCCCAGGTTGCCCCAGTCCAACTGCCTCTTCCTTATCGCTGCCTGTGTGCCACTCCCTACCCTTGCTGCAGCTGCTGGAAGCCCATAGCCGGGCTGCCTTGCGGCCCTACTGCTGCCCCGTGTTTGGCCCCTGTTAGGTCCCCCCCTTTCTGCTGCCTATGCTGCTTATCCAGTAGTAGGAACTGGAGACTGAACAGGGACTGAAAAAACAATTAAGCAGCAAGAAGGCCTGCTTTTATTGTAGTGGCTGTGTCTGTCAGGTTTGTTCTGCTTTGGAATACTGAAGCAGCTCTTTTGATCAGGATTTGGCAGAAACTAGGTCATAGATAACAAGGATGCTTGTTATTTATGACTATAGTCCTCAACAGAGAATAGTTTTGGTTAAGTTCCTTAAACTGCTTGTGGAAAGAGTTAAAACAAGTCTTCTTCCAGCTTCTTGCCCTTTTTTTTCAGTTCTTGGAGTGTGTCTAGGAACCAAAGTGACCTGTACAAATGCAGTCATTGTGGGATATCTTGTGGGATAATAGCTGGTTAAAATGTAGGGTGCCACAAGTGGAAAGATAAGAAAACTGAAGATGCTGGAAACTGAAGAAGAGGACTGAAGATGTATGCCAAAGAAGAAAGAGATTCAGGAGGCAAGCTATAAATATCAAATTGGTATCAGGTACCTTATAGGTCAATCAAGGAAGCTGCCTCTAAAGGAACAGAACAGTAAACTGTAAAAATAATCTACTACATAGAGAGATTATTTAACTTCAGACTCTAGCAAAATCAAAATATACTTGGAGATTTCCAGATCCATGCTTAAAGGAAAACTCATTTTCTATTCCTATAGGCTTTGTCTAAAAAGTAGATTTTTTTTTCCTTCTTTTGAAGATCTTCTCTTTCACATTGCCACATTCAGCTATACTTCACCAACAGCTATTTCATGGAGAAGGAAGTGATTTTACGTTCTGATTCCACTCAGCATAGAAGTAGGTGGGTAGAAATACTCCAGAGAGAAGTAGAAGTATTTCCTGAGCTGCCCTTGGCCTTTGTCTAGTAGTGGATAAAAAGCCTAAAATTTTGATTCAAAGAAATTGGAGCCTTACAGTAGAATCCTACTTACTCTATTATGTTACATAAAGTACATATTCTGAAATGATAAAATTCCTGTTACCATTTAAACTTTGTGGTGATACTGTGTGATACCGACTGGGCGGTACACATTGAGGGCTATAAGCTGTACAGAAAGGATAGAGTAGGGAGGAGAGGGGGAGGGGTTGCACTCTATGTCAAGGAGTGTTATACATTGACCCTAATCAAAATGGAATTGGAGGAAAAGAAAGTAGGAGGATTGTGGATTAGGATACATGGAGGTCAAGGGGAAAGGGATTTGGTGGTAGAGGTCTACAGACCCCCACACCAAGTGGAAGAACTAGATTTGGAACTCCTGAAGCAGCTCCCGGAGACCATAAAGGCAATAGTCATGGGGGACCTAAACTACCCTGACATCTGCTGGGAGACACAGACAGTAAATTCCCACTGTTCACGCAGGTTCGTATCCTGTGTGCAGGACCTCCACCTGATGCAGGAGGTACCTGGCCCCACTAGGTGGAATGCCTTACTGGACCTGGTATTGGCAATGGGGGATGACATGGTAGGGGACCTACAGATCAGTGGTCACCTGGGGGACAACGACCATCAAATAATAGAATTCACCATAAGGCGTAGAGTGGGAAAGGTAACTAGTAGGGTGAAAGTGCTAGACTTTAGGAAGGCTGACTTCAGCAAGCTCAGGCGTTTAGTCAGTGACACACTGCAGGGTAAGAGATTTGGTGAGATGGGAGCCCAGGAAGGGTGGCTGTGCCTTAAGGAAGCGATCTTTTGGGCACAGATGGAGATGATCCTGATGTGGGGAAAAGGGGGAAAGGGGCCAAGAGGCTTCCTTGGCTGACCAGAGAAATCCAGAGCAGCTTAAGGACAAAAAGGGAGGCATATAAGCGGTAGAAACAGGGAGAAATTACTAAAGAGGAGTATGCCTCCTCAGCTTGCAGTTGTAGGGAGGCAGTTAGAAAGGCCAAAGCTACCATGGAGCTGAGGATGGCATCCCAAGTTAAGGATCACAAAAAATTGTTTTTCAGATATATAAAGGAAAAGGAAGGCCCAGGGTGGTATAGGACCACTACTGAATGGACAAAACCAATTGGTGACAGACAGGGTGGATTCCTCAATGAGGGGCAAAACAAGTCTCACAATGGGATCATAGAGAGACAACAGCAGGGCGCCAGACTACCAAGTGTTGACCCTGAGGTGGTGCAGAGTTGCTTGGAAGGACTGGATGCATTTAAGTCGGTAGGCCCGCATGAGCTCCATCCGAGGGTACTGAAGGCACTGGTTGATGTCATTGCACAGCCACTGGCAAGAATATTTGAGCA